GCTTTTTGACTGAGATTTTAGGGTTTTCTATATATAGTATCATGTCATCTGCAAATAAGGACAGTTTTATTTCTTCCCTTCCCATTTGTATGCCTGGGCTCTGGCAGTGAAAGCACCAAGTCCTAACCACTGGACTGCCAGGGAATTCCCTTCTTCCTGATTTTAGAGGAAAGGCTTTCAGCTTTTCACCACTGAATATGATGTTAGCTGTGGGTCTGTCATAAATGGCTTTTATTATGTTGAAATATGTTCCCTCTATACCAACTGTGCTAAGAGTTTTTATCATGAATGGATGTTGAATTTTGCCAAATGCTTTTTCTGCGTCAATTGAGATGATCATGTGAATTTTATCCTTCCTTTTGTTAGTGTGGTGTATTACACTGATTGATTTGTGCATATTGAACCATTTTTGCCTTCCTGTAATAAATCCCATTTGGTCATGGTGTATGATCCTTTTTGCATATTGTTGAATTTGGTTTGCTAATATTTTGTTGAGGATTTCTACATGTATATTCATCGGAGACACTGGCCTCTAATGTTCTTTTTTTGGTAGTATCTTTGTCTAGTTTTGGTATCAGAGTAATGGGAGCCTCATGGAACGAATTTGGGAGTGTTTCCTCCTCTTCAATTTTTTGGAAGTGTTTGAGAAGGATTGGTATTTGCTCTTCTTTATATGTTTGCTAGAACTCCCCTGTGAAGCCATCCAGTCCAGGGATTTTGTTTGCTGGGAGTTTTTTGATTACTAATTCAATTTTACTACTAGTGACTGGACTGTTCAGATTGTCTATTTCTTCCTGATCATCACATGTTTATCCCTTAACTGTTTATTGTAGTTATAGATAACTTTTCCATTTTTGTCTTTTAATCTTCATACTAGCTTATTTAAGTGTTTGATCCAAAGCCTTTACTATGTATTTGCCTTTACTAGCAGTAAGAAGCAAACAGAAGGTGTGACTAGACTATGCCCGTAGGTAGTTGTGTGTCATTCTGTAGCTTAGTGACAATTAAGTTACTAAATATAACAGTTAAAATACAAGTATTTCATTTGTCTTGTAAAATGCATATTACTTCTTCTTTCCTTAATTCAGGCAGTCTGAGCTGTTTCCTGATTTGGAGTCTTATCAGTCACAACCTAACACACTTTTGAGAACGGTTTCGTGACTACATAACAGGAAGTAAGGACAATCACAACATTTAAGTAATTACATGAACTAGTTGGATTCACCTTACCATGGACAACAGTCTATTGATGGCCACTGCCCGCTGCTGGGCTTCTATATGCGGCATTTCATTCTGAATTACTTGGTCTGTGATTCCATGAGGGAACTGGTGACATAATTCTATAATCCTAGGAACAAAGGCATTAATGATATTCATGTTTCTACCTATCTCAAGAGGTGGTAGGGGAAAAAATACAAGAAGAACAGTTTGGAATTGTGCCCTTTTTCACATCTGACAGAAAATCTAGGTTTCTACAATGGTTCTGATTCAAAGCATGTTAAAAATGAGAACGATGCTTTTGAAATACACGTTTACACTTTTATTGTATTTAAGAGACGCATTTCTTTTCCCTATTCACATGAACTTTAAATTGGAACAAAAGTCAAATGGAAACACAGAAAGACATATTAAAGCTGAGGCTTCAGTTTTCTCAGACGGAACAAGTATGGCAAAGGGAAGATACAGTGCCTTGGATAGCCATAAGTCTGTGAGCAGGAGGTAAATCAAACACTTCAGGTGGGAAGTCAAAATTTGTTGTGACAATTCACCACAACTGGGACCTGCTTTTAGAATTATCCCTAAAAAACAAAAATAAACCCGAATTTTCATCTTGCCCTAGGATCACCATACGTGTTATTCACAATAGTTTAAGAAAGTGGGGGGTCCTTTAAAACTATGTGGTAACCTAAAAATTGCAGTGCACGGCAGAGAATATAAAATCGCCAGAGGCTTTGGGCGCCCTAAAATCTTCACTTATATACTGCACTAAAACCATCTGACTTGTGTTGCTTCATAACAGAAAACTGCACCCTAACTTCGGCTAAACGTTCTGCCACGGGAGTTCCCTTATTGACAAGGGCGATCCAGGATCAGAACGTGTATCCACAAGTACTACGGGGAAAACGCCGAGTCTTCACTCTGAGCGTGGATCACCTTAAGGTGGGAAAGAAGCGCATCACTAGAGCTTCCCGAACAGCACCAGGGAAAGGTCAGCTACACAATCTTGCAAACTGTCCGACTCGTTTCGAAATTAAGAGTTCTGTTTTCCGGGGATGGGAGGAGGGTTCCAACACCCTGCGCGTCCACTGAACTTGCGAGGGTCCCGGAGACGGGGTCCAGCGCCTCGCGGGGTCTCCCGAGCCGGGAAACAATTCTCACTCACTGATTTACCTGTTTTCGATTTCGACCGGATCCGCGTCGGGCGGCTGCACTTTCACCTTCACCTCGGCCATGAGGGCGCAGGTCCCGGTCCCTGGGGGAAGACACGGTCCGGGAAGCCGGAGAGCAAGCGGGGGAACCCTGGAACCTATGAAGACAGCGGCTGGCACATGGGCCTTCTTCCTCGTGTCGCAAGCGGTCCTTCATTGCCAGTCGCCTTGAGGTGGCCAAGCCGCGCCTGCGCCGCTACAGATTCTTATTCTGGTTTTTTCCAGAATGTCAGTGCCTGTCGGACGAACGAGCCTGGTTCCCCTATTCTGAGTTGGGACGCCACTTTGTAGCACTTTCCAACCTCTGTGAGGGCAAGTTCTTGGTCGCCTACGGTGAAGCCTGACGAAAGGAGCTCTCCGGGCCAAGCGCAGGGGCGGGACTAGTTGCTAGGAAGCCGGGTTCCTGCCAATCACCTGCCCGACTCTCAGGTGGCGGGGCGCGACTGGCAGCGTCTTTGGTAACCCGGACCGCTGTGAAGGAGAGGACGAAGGGCAGTGAGCGGTGGGCTGCCTGCGTGGGGGCTGCGGAGGTACTCCGGGGTTCCCAATCGGGTCCCGGTGGCCGGAGGAGAAGGAGGAGGACGGCAGTCCTCACTCCAGCTGAGAGGTAGCGGACGTCCTTGGGTGCACCTGAAGGACGGGGACAAGGACCAGACGCGGTTCCGGATGCGGGCGGTGAGGGGGCAGCCTGGGTTGGAGGGGTTGCTGGGTAGGGGATGCTGTTGACGCCACACTGACATTTCGGCCTAACGGATCGGTCTACTGATTGATCCTCTTCGCTCGGGGCCCACTGGCAGCCTTCCAAGGGCAGCTCCTAGTCGCCGCATGAATTATTCCCTCCCCAAATGTTTTTATTTTGAACTAGTTTTTAACTGTTTTTATTTTAACTGTCTCTCACTTAAATGAAAGTGTGAGGATGGGCAAGCTCTGCAGGGGCCGTTGCTCCACTATCTATATCTGTGTCTGCAATTTAAATTCTTAGCCTCCGACCTGGAACTGTCCAACCAGGCATTAAGTTCACTGCTTAAATTTAGTTATCCCACCTTTGGGTTATATTCTGTGACAAACCTCAAACCACAGAGATGTTCAGGGCAACATTATTTATTAAAAAAAAAATTTTTTTTTTTTGGTCGTACCTCAGACTTGTGGGATCTTAGTTTCCCGACTGGGGATGGAACCTGGGCCCCCCTGCAGTGAAAGTGCGGTGTCCTAACCACTAGACGGCCAGGGAATTCCCAGGGCAACGTTATTTAGAATAGCAAAACCCAAAACTAAAAAGAAACTACTAAATGCCTAAATGCCCAATCACAAATTGATAAATAAGATTATATAAGTACTTGGAAAATTGTAAATAATAGTGGAGGGTGCAAGAAGTACACTATAAAATTCGAGTTTTAATATAGATTTTAATTGAGTAAAACCTATGCATCCATTATCGTTGAAATTTGAACAGACCATCGGAGATGTAAATGGTTGCTGTATTAAGGTGTGGGGTTTTTTTCCCCCTGAATCCTTTATGTATTAATAATTATGAGCCCCCCCCAAGAAAAAGATCCCTAAGGCCTCCATATTTGTACTTAATTATTTATAAATACAGTAGATGGAGTGGGAGACTTTTGTGTTTTTTTGCTCACTGTTTATATCCATGCCAGCTTTCTTCTGGCTGAGGCGTGACCCTCTGCCATCCTTCTAAAGCTTCTTTTGCAGCTTTCATGTGCAAGAACCAACTGGTGACAACTGCAGGGCTTTGAACCTGGAGCTCTCCCAAAGGAGTTGGCTCTAAATTAACATTTCATGCTACATACAGAGTTACTTCTGTTCCTCTTGTGTGCTGACTTGCCTGAAACCAAGAGAGGTGGCAGAAAAATGTGGCAATGATCCAGGGGTTGCTGAGGTCAGGTCATCAGTGATGGTCTCTGCTCTGATGAGTTCACTTAATTTGTCCATTTAAAAGAATTTTGTGCCCCCATCCCATACATTCATGCTTTTTTTCCCCCAAAGTGAGGTAAATACTTAGATAATCAAAACCCCACACAAGATCGCAACAGCAAAAATACAGCTGAAACTAATTATTTCAATTAAAAATGATATTTGTGGGCTTCCCTGGTGGCGCAGTGGTTGACAGTCCGCCTGCCGATGCAGGGGACACGAGTTCGTGCCCCGGTCCAGGAAGATCCCACGTGCCGCGGAACGGCTGGGCCCGTGAGCCATGGCCGCTGAGCCTGCGCGTCCGGAGCCTGTGCTCCGCAACGGGAGAGGCCACAAGAGTGAGAGGCCCGCGTACCGCGAAAAAAAAAAAAAAAAAAAAAGATATTTGTATTAACACAACATTGTAAATCAACTATACTTCAATTAAAAAAGACAAAAAAAAAACACAAAGAACTGAGATGGGTCTCCCAAAAAATAAAAAATAAAAATGATATTTGTAGATGATGGATTAACAGTATTCTCTTTAGTTTTTACTGGTCTCACTGTATTTGAATGAGGTGCTTCTCTTCAGTGTTTGTGTTCAAATATAGGTGCCCATTGGAATTTATTTTCATCCACTGTTTTTTAATGTAAGGAGGGAAAATGACGGCTGGTTCAGTGTGTGTCCCTCAAATCATTCCCCTGCGGGTGCCTCAGCCCGGAAAAGCCAACCATGAAATTGATAACAATACGCTTTTGGAAATGAAATCAGGTAAGAATCAAATATACTTGAAATCATTTAAAATAACACTGCCATATTCTTTATATTCATCTGGTTGTTGAGTTATCTCTTTACATGTTTTCTATAATCAGGATCTTGGGAAGTTTGTAAAACTTCCAAAATTTGAAACAATGGTGGTTTATAGAGTGGTATTTATATAGATTAAAATGCTTGCCAACCTTCCATTTGTGTGGGTAATAGTTGTAGCAATGCCTTGACTCACCTTAGCCAAGGGAGGATTTCCTGATGCTTCCCCAGACTTTCCCAGGATTCTCATTATTTTTCTGGGATTTCAGTTTGACCTGCTAACACAGGCTTCCCAGTCAGACAGGTTGGAGAGTGAATCCTGGCTTTGAGAACTTCTAGTGACCTTCAGTACCTTGCTGTGCCTTTATAAGTCTCAGCTTCCTCACTGTAAGAGTGATAGTATTATCTACTGTTTACAGCCATTGTGAGGTTTAATGAATCGATATGTGATGTGAGGGGTACAGGGTCTGTCACATGGTAATGCCAAAAGAAATCTTAGCTATTTCTGCAGAAATAAAGCAGTGAATGCATTTCCTATTAATGCCAGGAATACCCCCCCACACACACACATATACATATATAATTAACATAAGGAGAAGGAAAAGTTTTATAGATAGAACATATGAACAAATACTTGTTTAAAACAGACTCTGACTTGCAGCCACATGGATGGACCTAGAGATTATCATATTACATGAAGTAAGTCAGACAGAGAAAGACAAATATCATATGATATCACTTATATGTGGAATCTAAAAAAAGTGATACAGATGAACTTATTTACAAAACAGAAATAGACACACAGACAGAAAACAAACTTATGGTTACCAAAGGGGATAGCAGGAGAGGGGGAGATAAATTAGGAGTTTGGGATTAATGTATACATACTACTATATATAAAATACATAAACAAGAAGGACCTTCTATATAGCACAGGGAACTATACTCAATATCTTGTAGTAGTCTATAATGGAAATGAATCTGAAAAAGAAAAAATAGTATACATATGTATAACTGAATCACTTTGCTGTATATGTGAAACTAATACAACATCGTAAATAAATTATACTTCGATTTAAAAAAACAGACTCTGAGACTCCAGTTATGTATTTTAATAACTAATGTGCATACAAACTATTTATCTGTATTGATGGTGTGGCACCTGGGCTTCCTAGACTAAGAGTTCCAACTAAGAATATATTACTTTATACTGTGTCTCCCTTTATCTTGAAAGCCAATATTATTTTCAAAAATTCTCAAACCAAAATACAAGTCTTAGTATATGTGCCCATAACCCTCAGGAGAAGTTGGGTAATTATTGACAAATGATGACAGGATATCCAAATTCTCTAATATTTAAAATGTCTAATAAATAAAAGATTCTACAATTCAATGACAAAAATAATAATAACCCAATAGAAAAATGGACAAAGGATGTGAAAGAACATTTTATAGGAAAGGAAATACAAACATCTTTTAAACATATGAGAATATGCTTCTACTCACCCCTTCACCAGCTTGCTGAGCAGACCTTTTCCCCTGCTTTTTTTACTCCCTTGCATTTAATCACCACTTAACAGATTATATGTAATTTTTTGTTTGTTTACTGCTTGTGTGTTTTTCCTAAAACGGAAGCTCTATGACAGCAGGGACTTTAGTCATTGGTGTATCCCCAGTGTCTTGAACAGTGTCTGGCATGTAATAGGTACTTAGTAAATATTTGTTGAATGAATGAGTGAATCTTACTCAAAATGTAAGAAATGTGAGTTAAAACTATGAGATACTTTTTTTTTAACCTAGGAGAATATAAAAGAAATATTGTCAAAAAGAAAAGAAAAAATGGTCACACACAATATGGCTGAGATTGTGGGTAAACACGCATTTCCGTGCCTTGCTGATAGCAATGTGAATTGTTTCACTGTCTGTGGAGGGAAGTTTGGCACCATTAACCAAAATCACAAGTGCCCATAGCTTTTGCCTCAACAGTACTAGTTCTGTATATTTTACAGATGTACTTATAAAAAGAACTCTTTATAGGGTTATTCATTACAATGCTTGTAATAGCAAAAGAAAAAGAAAGAAGGAAAAGGAAAGAAGACAGTTTAGATGTTCATCTGTAGGGACTGGCTGTGTGCCAATGATTCATCCATAGAAAGACAATACAGTGCAGCCGTAATGAAGAATGGGGATGCTTTTATGTACCAATATAGGGCAATATCCAAGACAGATTGTTAAATGAAAAGAGAAATGTGTAGAACAGGGTATGATAAGCCACCATTTGTATATAAAGAGAGGAGGGAGCGCTTCCCTGGTGGTGCAGTGGTTGAGAGTCCACCTGCCGTTGCAGGGGACACGGGTTCGTGCCCCGGTCTGGGAGGATCCCACATGCCGCGGAGCGGCTGGGCCCGTGAGCCATGGCCGCTGGGCCTGCGCGTCCAGAGCCTGTGCTCCGCAGCAGGAGAGGCCGCAGCAGTGAGAGGCCCACGTACAGCAAAAAAAAAAAAAAGGGAGGGGGGATAAATATGTACATATATGCTTGTATGGATGTAAACTATTTTTGGAAGGATAGCTGATACTATTGGTTGCCTTTGGGCAACTTATGTCAGGGGTGGGAGGGAGAGTTTTCATTGTATATCCTTTTTTGACCTTTTGAATCTTGGATCATATGTATTTTTTACCTTTACAAATGTTCTAAGAAATGTAGGAATCATTTACCTAGTCCAAATAAAATATAACAAAAGCATTTCTTAAGCAATGCTCCAAAAATGAAAAATTAGCTTCTGCTTTCTAAGTAGGCATTGCAGTTTTAAAATTCACCCCTGCTTGATTTGTATCATTGCTCTGTTGGGGAGGCAAAATACCATAGTGGTTCAAGAGCATGGCCCATGGATCCAACCTCCCATAAGTCAAACCACAACTCTGCTGTTATTTAACAAGTTTCTTAACCTCTCTGGGACTCAGTTTCCTCATCTATAATGTGGGTATAAAATAGGACCTATCTCATAAGGTTGTACTGATAAAATTAGCTAATTCATGTAAAGCACAGTGACTGGCACAAAGAACTCAGTTATTGTTACTTATTGTTATTCATTTCTACAGTACATTAAAAAAAACTCATTAAATAACTGACCCATAGGTGTTATTCAGGGACTTGCTACTTGAATGTTAATTCCAGATATCCTCTCTTGGGTTTTTCAGACACCCCAGATGTCAACATATATTATACCCTGGATGGCAGCAAACCTGAATTCCTAAAGAAAATTGGTTATGGTGAAAACACTACGTTGAAGTATATGAAGCCTATTACTCTGCCTGATGGAAAAATACAAGTTAAAGCTATCGCAGTGTCTAAGTAAGTTAAGAGCATAATGATTAAGATAATTTGTATTTATTATGTTTTAATTTTATTAATTTCAATGAGAATCAGTTCTGGATTAGAAGTACACTAAAGAAAAAGTTATCTTAATTTCAGCACATATCTGTAACTTTTTTGTTTTGTTTGTTCTCTGTTGAGTTACACTGTAAAGTACACAAATCATAAGGGTACAGCTCAGTGAAGTGCTATGTATATTAATACTGTTTTTAGTTTGAAATCCATATTGGGATTTTGGGAAGGAAGAGCCTTTTCAGGGTTTGGGACCTCTGAAGAGATTCACCTGGCTCTGAGGAGAATTCTGGTTTTAGTGAATGGTTCTTTTATTTCCCAGGACATGCCTACGACCACTGTGGTTCTCTGTCTGATTTTGTATTCACTTTATTGGCCTTCAAAGCTACTGTCATTTCAGTTTGTTAAACATTAGCTATTTCACTCTTTTCTTTGTCCTTTCTTTCCTAGTCAATGATTTTTTTTTTCATTTTCAAATATAGAAACACCACTTAATTTGGTGAACTTCACTGTGGGTTGTAGAGAAGAAAACCCTCAAATGCTTTGCAGATTTGTGTGTCTGTGATAGAAGAATTATTCTGTGCAGCAAGACAGGTTTGGCCACATTTTTGGAAGACTTTTAAGCCCCAAACCAATACCTGGCTGGCCCAGTTAATTTAAACGAGACTCCAGGCTCCCCCTGCTGGCTGAACTACTGCGTGGCTTTTTGACAAGAGCTACAAGTTCTACACCAAAGATGATTGCTTAGGCATTAAAAACATTTTTTTAATAATAAAATAAAAATAAAACAAAACAAAACAACCTCCTTACACATTATTATTCTTTACTAAAGATTTGAATCTGTGTCTTTTCCCACTTGCCAAACCATTTCTATTGAAACAAGTCATCTCAATTGTTAAAAATGAATAAGCTAATTACTCTGGTGCCCAATGCTGCAAGGCAGCCCCTTTTTTTGTGTGATGTGTGTGGTACGGGGGCCTCTCACTGTTGTGGCCTCACCCATTGCGGAGCACAGGCTCCGGACGTGCAGGTTCAGCGGCCATGGCTCACGGGCCCAGCCTCTCTGCGGCACGTGGGATCTTCCCAGACCGGGGCACGAACCTGTGTCCCCTGCATCTCGTCAGACGCTCTCAACCACTGCGCCACCTGGGAAGCCCCAAGGCAGGCCCCTTTATAAGCTGCAGGTGGTCATAAAGTGAAGCAGCAGTTAATGACTATGTAGTTCAAAGGAGTTAATAAAGCTTCCAAAAGAGTCTGAAAAATAAGGGCATTGTTAATGCCTCTCACCATCTTGCTCTGTGCCCACTAAGTGTCTGCTCTGAAAAACTGTTAGTATTTCAGATGCGCTCAGCTTAGGGAAAGTATCTATGCAAAAAATTTTTGAGTTTTCAAGGCAGAAAATTAGTGCTTCTATCCATTTGCGATAAAATAGCTCTTAAAAGGAAATGAATAAGAGCTTTGCCATACATGTGCTTCCATGTCCCCATATGTATGTATATGACTTTCACATCAGAGAATGGTCTGGTAAGGAACACAGGTGGGCAGGAGGGGCCAGGGACTCGGGAACATCTCAGCAAAGGGAGAGGGTTTCAGGTTTGATAGTCTGTGTATTGATGGTCTAATCCAGGGTCTGCAAACTTTCTGACATCTGCCTTGATTCTTTAAAATCCTCCTTTGTGGTCAAGAGCTTCCTGTCTCTGATATCGTCATTTTGTAGTGTTCTGGCAATGAACCTGCATGGTTCTCTTTTTTCTGCCAATGACCTTATATGGTGGCCAAGAAAAATCAAGCCTGGCTGAGGTAAAAGCTGCTTCAACTGAAGGTAGGTAACTGGGGGAGTCAGAGTCCCCTGAGAACTATCATTTTTCTTCAGCAGAACCAAGAGGGACTTCCCCGTTTGGCAGCAATGATTAATAAAGTAAACGTATCCGCAGGGTACCAGGGCATCTCACAGGCATCCATCTACCGCCCCTGGACCTAAAACCTTGCGTTTGCGTGGATGACAGATCCAAATGCCATCGCCAGAGGCAGCGACAAAGGCAAGAAGACGCTGCTTGGAGTGTGGGAAAGAGGATGGAGTTTGTTGACCTGCAGATCTGGATTTTAATCCCAGTTGTATTGCCTCCACTTCGTGTGACCTTGGCTAAATTATGTGGCCTTTGGCATCTCAGTTTCTTCCTTTGTCACATGAAGTTAACAGGACGCCCTTGGAAGCCGTTGTGAAGGGCAGAGGTGATACACTTGGGATCAGGCAGGTGGCAGCTGTAGTTATTGTCTTTCAAATTCATAACGAAGGGCTAACAGATTGCTGTCATGTGACCCACCTCAAAAGGTCAGCCTCCTATTTGAAAAGTTCATGCCTGGGTGAATAAGCGGTTTCCATTCAACCCCTTCATGTTCCTAAACCAGAGGTTCTCAGTTGGGCATAATTTTGCTCCAAGGGGTCATTTAGCAATGTGAGGAAACATTTTGGTCCTCACGCTGGAAATGGGAGTGTGTTAGTGGCATCTGGTGGGTGGAGGTCAAAGATGCCGCTGAGCATTTTACAGTGCACAGGACAGCCCCACAGCAGTGATTACCTAGCCCCAAATATCAATAATTTCCAATAGGTTGAGAAAACCTGGCCTGGACAAGTTGCAGAATTCTTCCAGATCCGGTTTCTTTCACTCCCTTGCAATCATTCAAGTAATTATGGTGTTTTATGGAGAGGATAATAATCTTTACAGGGATAGAACTATGAGTACCTTTTTTTTATGTCTAGTGTACCTTATATTGGTATTCCTAAAGATATATATTTATGGCATCTGATTCCAATCCTAGCAAAAATTTATGTGTGTTCAAATGAGATTTGGGCTCTGAGTAGAATTCCTAGCTCCAACCCCAAACCTAAGCCTTTTTTGGATTACCATCAGAAAATCCTTCCACCTAGCAGGCAGTCTGAGCTGGTTTCTGGATGACAGGGTCTATGGGTAGGAGCCCTGGCTGGGTCCCCAAGGAAAGGGCTAGCTATGGTGGGGAGACAACCTAGACCTTAAAAGGGGTAGAGCAAGTGGGTGGGAACCAGGCTTCTGCTCAGAGTAATGGGGCTGGTATGTGCACATTCAGGAAGCCTGACCATTCACCAGGATTTGAATGGTCCCTGGATGGAGATGTTTGTGAGGTCCAGGAAGTGTCTAGCTAGGAGGACAGCTATATCTTGGATGACAGACTGTGGGCCAAAGATGAGCTTTCAGATGAGATGGATGTTGAGGTGAATGAGTTAAGCAGGCAGTTCATCTAAAAGACTGTCTCTATCTGCATCCACATATCCGCATCTGTGAATTTGGTTTTGTTATTAAATATAAAACAAAACACATGCTTCCCCAAAGTTTAGCCACCCATAAGTCACTCCAACCAGTGAACATGCATGTACCCACTGATCATGTTATTTCTTAAATATTATCACTCACTGATAGGTAGTGGCCGTTTAGGTCAATTGTGTATTTCTGAGAATTTTTTTCTCCTAAAAATGTGGCTTACAACCTCTGCATTGCTTAGTGTTAAACATTTCTCAACTATTTTGGAACTGATGTATATTCATTTCTGAATGTTTACTTAAGGAATTTAAAGCATTTTGGGACACACATTTACTTGAAGCTTCAAGAATTTTAAGAAATATAAAAAACCAACATGTAAGAAATCTGAGAAATTGCAAAAGAAATGTTAATGAAACACATAAAATAAATCAAAGGCCAATATGAAAATCAATGAGCAAAGCAGGCAAAGAAACACCAAAGAAAGAAGGCAGCTGGCGATGTAAACAGTATTAAGTTCCTGGGCCAATCAAACAGAATCACCTGTGTTCCAGCTGTGAGCTTTCAGTGCAAATTAGTGGGAGCGAGAGTTAAACATATCAAACAAATACACCAAAGTGTGGTCACCATGATGCAGCAGGGACTGCTGGCTCTTCCCAATGTCTGTGTTTCTCTTCTTCAAGAATCATAGAGCCCATGATTTTTAGCCAGACGTGTTTCCTAGAAGAAAGATAATTCCCAGTCCTCCTTGAAGCTAGCTGGAGCCATGTCACCAGGTGTGGCCAGTGGATGCATGTGGAAGTAATATGGCAACTTCTGGATTGTACCCTAAAGGAAGAGGTGGGCTGTGGTTCCTGCTGGCTGGAATGTGGCTGTGGTGGGCAGCCACGTTGGGTCAGAGGACACATGCAATGTCCTCGATGTGGTGGAGCAACATGGTGGAAACTTGACCCCAGACCCTGACACCGTGGCTCCTCTGCACAGCTCTGGGTGGATTACAACCGTTACTGCCCTCTTGTTTAAGCCACTGTTGTTTCAGTTCTGTGTTACAACAGCCAAGCCTGCATCCTAATACACTAGGGACACATCTCAAGCAAATACCTACAGAGAACATATTCAAGAGTACAGGTGATCAGAAAAGGCTGACAATACCAAGTGTTGGCGAGTGTGTGGAGAAACCAGAACCCTTAGATGATGCCAGTGGGAATGTAAGATGGAACAACCAAAAAGTTAAACCCACTGACCATATGACCCAGCAGTTCTGCTCCTGTGTATCTTATCCACACATGTGGCTGGACCGGGCCTTGTTCTTATTATGATTGCAAGAGGCCCTTAGCAATAATTATCAGGAAGATTTGAAAGAGATGAGGTTTATTACAAGTCCTGGAAATTATGTGGCACACAGCGAGGTCACAAGTAGAGAGAGAGAGAGAGAGAGACAGAGGGAGAGACGGGGATGGAGGTAGGGAGTGAGGAAGGGAGAAATCACAGGCCAGAGGTTCTACTTTTATTGGGGTTGAGGGAGGGGGCTAGGGTTCCACGGGCTCACTCTTTATTGGTGAATTTTAAACGTAAGAGTGAGAATTTAAAGCAGGAAGAGAAAAAACAAGCAACCCAATTGTTCAGTCATTGAAACCAACCAAGATCTCTAAGATAAAGGAGGCTCCGTGGGGGAAGGTGGCCTGGATCTTTATCTAGTCCTGTGGTCGGCAGTGTGTCTACTCAAGATTGCTACCTTTGAAGTGGATGCCTCAGCAAGCAAAGCTTAAGTCAGGCACTTGTTTGTTACAAACAAGAGAAAAGCCAACCTTCAGGGCTTATACTACAAAGACTTATATGTGAATGCTCATAGCAGCATTATTTATAATAATCCAAATGTTGGAAAAAATCCAAATGACCATCCACTTGGCAATGGATAAACAAACTATGGTACGTCCATAAAATGGAATACTACTCAAGAATAAAGATGAATGAACTATTGATACATGCAACTACGTGGGTGAACCTCAAAAAAAAAAAAGATGAATGAAAGTAGCCAGATATGTAAGACTATATTTGTATGATTACATTTATTTTGAACTTCTAGAAAAGGCAAAACTATAGAGAGGGGAAGCAGATCAATGGTTGCCTGGAGTAGGAGGTGGAAGCAAGGAATGACTACAAACAGGCACAAGGGAATTTTTCAGTGATGGAGCGTTCTAAAACTGGACTGCGGTGGGGGTTGCACAATTGTGTAAATTTATGAAATATCAAATTATATACTTAGATGAATTTTATGTGATGTACATTATACCTCAATAAAACTTTTAAGAACTAAAAAGTATAGATGAGCTTCTGGTTCTGAGATGAAATCACTGCCAGAGTTCAGTTCTGGGCCCTCTGCATTGCTTTCTCAGTGGACTCCTATTGTGTCCGAGAGGAACAAGATTCATTGTGAAATATTATGAATAAATTGAGAATTTGCTGGTATTTGAGGAATAACAGTTAAAATCTCCCAGGGCAGCATATATAGTGCTACCCACAACTGGGGTACAGAAAATCCCCATGACTCATATGGAATGAATGATATATAGGTAACCCCATTCTTTGTTTTAGAATAGGTTGAGGCTTAACGTATGACATCTTTATGGTGAGTGCGATAGATGGTCCCCTAGAATGGCTCCCCATGAACCACGCCTCCCAGGGCAGCCCCTCCGCTTGGACCTGGGCTGGCCCTGTGACTTACTTTTGACCAAGACAGCGCACCAGACATGACGCTAAGGCCAGACCACAAGAAGTGTTGCAGTGTCTGCTCTGGTCTCTCGGAACATAAATGCTGGGGGAAGCCAGCCACCGTGTAGGG